GATCGTAGTGCTGAGAGTTGACAGTACTTATGGTTGAGGGCGTAGTAAAGTGGGACGCGACGTTGAGATCTGCTAAGTTGAGTATTTCATACGGGACGGTTTCAAGTCTTCACCACGACGAATCAGTTCAGATCACGACTGTTGTTCTGCCTGGAGAATTCCAAGTCTCGAAGATCCGAAGCACGTGTTGTGTTTGCCTGGATACCTGTCGAGCGAATGTAATGCATAATCACCTAATTCCAATGAAATAGGAACGGGTAGTAGTAAATACCACCGTTCAATTGAAGTCATTGCCAGTCACAAAGTACTTGGAAAGATGCCTGGCTCGGGAAGTCTAGTCAATGCTAACTGCTGAATATTGACCCATGATACCTTCTCTTGCAAGTACACCATCACTACGTCGAAACCGTAGGCGCCCCTAGCACCATTCTTAAGTCGTATAAGTCCAGCAGAAGTCATCCCAAGGCATATTTTGGGTAAAACACTTCAGATCGCCTCTTTAAATGAAACTATTGAGTGATCATGTAGTTTGGAATCATAGACTCGCACTCTGTACCGCAAGATTGACGAGTGTCGCGATTCGAGACATGTAAGCATACCGTGTGTTCGCTGTCTCCGCCTGTCCTTGCAAAATCTGATATGAGACACCGCCCCTGTGCACTTCCGCAACATTCCAGGAGGCCATCCTACACGTCTATGCCTCTGGCTGTGAACGAGGATTCGCAGCTCACTTGCAGTTGGACATGCACAGGAGGCCATCTGCGTCTTGAGGAAACTAACTTGCCAAAGCTACATTTATCAAGTCAACTGTATGTAAGCAATGAATCAAGAGAAGCATCGCAGCTCATTATCAATATCAACGTGCGAAGACACGGCAAACATCGACCCGTTATAAGAGCCATGGGTACCCAGGCAAGCGCCACTTTGGCACATAATATTGGAGAGGGGAGGGGCTTTGTAGCATATTCGCGATAGGTTGCTGGCGTACTGGAGGATGCACACAATCAAGGAAAGCGAAGTAGAAGATGACGCCAGCACGTACGTAAACTCTGCTTCGTTCCTTTGACAAGGCACTGGCGCAATGGGCTGTCAAGTCTACCTCGGATGCGTTCTGGCGAAAGTCTGCCTTGGGGTACGCCTCAGGCCGCGTCACTCGACTTTGACGGGTGCCTGATGGATTGACGCGCAGGAAGACATCAAGAAGGGCTATCTTTCAAGCGCGAATCGATAGCGCCATCGGATAACACTGCCTCGGTGTTCGCGGGACGAAGCGAGACTAGCCACGGCTCGTTTCAGGCTTGTGGTGTGATTCGGAAGAGGCGTCGTGATTTTAGCTGCTAGCTCAGGTACAGCACTGTTGTCTTTTTCCGGGCTGCCGTCGAACAGCAGCATTGCGTGGTCTTGGTCGCGTTGGTCAAGGGAAGCCGTTGGTGAGAAAGTGTCTGATGTGTCTATGATGCGTTGAACCGAACCGATTCGCATAAGTGGCTTCCTCATCGGGACCAAGATATGTGAACATGATACCTGGCATATTGTCGTGCAGCTCGGAGTGCTGTGGCTAGAGGTGAAGAGCATGCCGACCTTGAATGCCGAGCGGACGCCTACTTTACAGAGAAGGACGCTCCAGGCAGCAACGAATATCGAAGCATTTCATTTTGCTGCGATTGGGTCAACGGTGCGGGCGGACGAGGATGTTATTTCAAAGCAGGGCGCGGGAGAATGGTGAAGCCCTTCATCCTAGCATTTATCTGATGCCACACTAAATTGTTGGCCAACCAGGTTTCAGCCCTACCCACCCTCTCGGCTCGACCCTTCAACGCTCATGCACAGTGCCACGTGTGCCTCTACTTCATCAGGCAGAATCGTCTTGAGTTACTCCTTACCACAGCATCGAGCGCGTGCTGTACAACGCCAACGCCTTTGGCTCGGCCCATGTGCCCTCAAACTCTTCGAAATTCTGACGCTGCGCCTTGTGACCAAGAACCCGGCGCAAAGGAACTCAATGACGTTGCAAGGATCGTCAGCAGGAAACGAAACAGGAAACACGCTAGAAGCCGTAATCGTGATTTGCGCCAGCCGACTGGTAGCTGCACGTCTGCTTTCATCACCGACCAGCAAATCATCTCCAGGTCCCGTTGACATCGCTTCCGGCACGCTCCTTATGCCGCGAATGCTACGGAGGGGCCTTCCGGTTGTGGCGGCATACTGTCTCTTTTCGCATTCTTGCATACGATGACATTATCCTCAAGGTCCTCCATGCCAGGGTGAGACTCTAGGCTCCTACCAGCGCGGCGTACAACGTCTTGCGTTACAAAATTCTGCGCCGCGAAAAACATGTGGCATACCGGCAACTCTTGCGGTGCTATATCGGTGCGCTGATGGAGCAATCAGAATCGTGACAGTCGCTTCGGCCAAAAAGCACGTGGTCGCTGTGCCTTGATAGTGAAGGCGGAAGCTACCAATGCGCGCAGCGAGGCATTTACAGGGCAGCCGATACGCCGTCGAAGCTAATGCTACGCGGTGTCTGCCAAGCCAGTGCTTTGGAAGGAGAAGGTACCAGACAGGGTTGGTGGAGCCAACAATGAACTGACTTCACGATGCCTCGTGTTTGACCCCGCTGCACGCTCGTTGGAGCTTTCCTGGGTGGCTGTGCCCGCTTCACTATTTCTGGGAACATGGCTGGTGAGATGCGGACCTGTGCGGGCGGAGATTATAAAGACCCTGAACAATATCCTAAGGTTGCTTGTTGTTTCGAATCAATCTTCCAGCTACCGCTTTCTCGCCATTCAACTTCCCACCTGCCATAAAATCCTGCGCCACTCCTTTCTTGTACTTCAATATATTCGACGCCTGTTGACCAGCGACTCTCAATTTTCTACTTCACGCGACCGTCATACACTTCCTCACATCCATCACCTCCCTCCCTTTTGCACATCTCCTCGGCAACCGCATCCGCCCGCTTCATCCGATCAATCTTGCACTATGAAGGACTGTCCGACTTGCCACGGAAACGGCAAGACCAAGTGCGACGACTGCAATGGCAACGGCTGTACAAATTGCAAACGAACGGGCACCAAGAAATGCGATGTTTGTGAAGGCGCAGGCGCAATACACACCGACCATTAGGGGCGCAGCAACTTCAGGCTCCAACAACACGACTAGCAGTCTGACTTCGCAGGTGAATCACCAGTCATGGACAGGTACGTACCTACGAAACAGCCTAGAGCGAGCGCACTGCCACAATGCTATGCACACGGCACGACTGTGCTCTCCCCCCAACGACCCTCGCCGTATCCGGATAATGAAGCATCGCGTATTCGTCGCTGATCCTTTGCACTGACACGACACAGGTCATCACATCATCTCATTTGTATCAGTCTTTGAATTTCCTTATCGGTGCCCAAGTCAACCCTTATCTGTGCGCAGGCGCCATTGACGTGGGCGATGAGGTGGTCGGTGTGTGGGGGATCGTATTGCGACAGATGCACGCAACACAGCACGTGCATGAGATTATACCCAGGGAGGCAATTTCCGAGCGTTCCGAGTTTCGTTTTTGCGGCGTAGGCGCTGGGGCCGCTGGTCTGATCGAGCTTTCATTGGGTGGTCTTTTGTGTTCTGGCAAAATAAGCTGGAAATTTTGGGTTTGGGGGAGAAACGCGGACGGGGGCAGTCTTGCAGCGATGACGTGGTGATGGAAATCGGTAGTAAGGGGTTTAGCGGCTCGAATGACAACACGACGTTTCATCTCAGCTGCCAACACCAAAGTTACGATTTTCTTGTCAATCATCTTGAATGCCTCGGCATGTTTTGCAGGTGATGCTGAGGTAGCACAGACGTGCATAAGGCCCACTGACCGGACCGGTGATCGCAACTACTTGTTAGGCCTCACCGCTACGTGGACATCGCCGTCCACAGGTGTTACTGAGTCACGTCGTATACTGTGAAGTTGCTCAGACTTATTGTTGCCCTTCCACAATGAATCCTTATTCCACTGTGAATCGTAGCACGGATGGTCCTGGATCTCTCATGCGACGGTCATAGAGCGTCGTGAGTCAAGATGGACTCATCATGGCAGCCAACCTCGCAATTTCAGCAGCAAGGCTCCATGGGCTCTAGAGAGGGCAGACCACAACAAGTAGCTACATTCAGCCTTTGCCCTCCTATGCTCAAGTACTATGCACTTTAATCAAGTTGAAAAGGCGTGGAAGGACAGATGTTTGTTCGTAGCACTACGAACTCATAGCCCATTCTGAAAATCAAGACGGTCCTGAAGGCATAGCTTGCGCTAGATTCTGAGAAACCATGTACACTGCTGAAGATATGTTAGCGTCTCTGCGTCCAGCTTCACCTCATCACTGCAAAAGGTCAAGTAGGCTGCTGTGTCATCTTTGTAGTCACCAAGCTCTATCCTCAATACTGGTGAGTCAACACCATGTGAAACGTTGATTTGACTCTTTGTACTCAACAGATGCTATAGAGGATGGCAAAATAAATTCGGCCGCGTGATTATACTGTACGTCGCATTATTTGCGCTTTACAACTCCTCGAGGCCTTCGCACCTTTCTAGAGGCGTAGTATAATATTGATAAGTACTTGAATATCTCCACGCGACTACATATTTCGGTTTTGGTAGCATCTGAATAAATCCAGCCTGTTCAAGCGCTTCAGGCGGACTGTAATAATAAATGGCACATCTCATAAGCCATATCCAATGTATCCTTACGGTAAGAGTCAACAGGAAAGTTGCATTGTTAGTGCGGATCGATATGCAATGCGCAATCGCGACTCCACGTCTCCTCTAAACCTTGCTAAAGTCCCGTCCTTGCTTGAATGCTCATGTACTATTATCTTCCCCTTCTCAACGTAATACAAACACATCATGAACGCAAAAAACAAGCTTCGCGTTAGCAAGTGTCTGTCAATTCGCCACCCTCCGCCCGACATGACCGAAATCCCAGATACACCCATGACAATCAAACCAATGGTAAAAAGTATACGTTTTCCCAATCCGGGAATCGAACCCGGGTCTTTCCGGCCCATCAGTCTCATTGCTGAGATTTGAAAGCGGAATATCCTAGCCTCTGGACTAATTAGGATTAGTGTTGCTTGATGCGGGAATTTCGACTTATTACATATATATACTATTATTGGGACATAGGGGAAAGCAGAAGCAATCACAAGGAGTAATTTGAATTCTTTTTCGTGTGTCGCGGTTGTAGCGTTGCTGTGGAAAGTGGGTCTTAGTGTAAGTCAACGCACAAGCGAGGCAACAAACGCACAAATTTGCAAAGAGTGAAGAGATTTGAACCTACACCCTCAACAAACATTATTCACCAAAACACTCCTCACTTTTTCCAGGGTACATAACTGAATCGAGCAACATTGTCATTGTAATTCGTATAGAAAGGGTCAAGTCATATGGACAAGACCAAGTATGGATACAAGAAGTGAAACACCAACTATCAGATCTCTTTGCAAGCGTCTCGTAGAGCTAGCTTTTGTACATCAAATCCATGTACATGGACTGCTTCGAGCATAGCGCTTCAACCGCGGAAAGCACGGGCGTGGCGGCGGGCCTTCGCGCTGGACGAGCCAGCCTTCTCCTCTAGCCAAGCAATGAAGGTATCAAGCGTGAACTCCTTGTCGAGACCTGCGCCGGAGCTGGGGGCAGCAGCAGGAGCGCTGGAAGGAGCAGCGGCAGGAGTGGATGAAGCGACGGCGTTGTTCTCGACCGCGGCGGAAGAAGAGGCGGCGGGCGCGCTGGTGGCAGTAGGGGTCGGGGCGGCAGAAGCAACCGGTGCCGAACCAGAAGAGCCAGATCCAGAGCTCGCACCGCTGAATAGGGCAGGGCCGGGGATCTTGTATCCTGAGAGATCGCCAGAGTAGATGTTGACCTGAATGCCAGGGTCGGTTGGGGTGTAGAACTTGTCGGCGGTCACACCAGCGGGTGTCTCAGTGCCAGAACCTTCCACGTTGATGTTGATGCACTTGGGGTAGTTCTGCGCACCGTCTGCCTGACCAGCAGAGTGGAGTGCGATGATCTCGTGGCGAAGAACGTATTGTCCAGAAGCAATGCTCTCTGGAATTGTGACACTCCATGTGAGGTTGTTGGCGATGAGCTTGGCTGCTGCCCACTTGCCGTTGTCATAGCCGGCCTCATCGATCTTGAAGAAGTTCAACTCGGACGACTTCGCGGCGGTGGCATCATCAACCTTCGCAAGGTAGTCGATAACAGGTCCGACGTGGGACTCGGGCCATGTGTTCCACTGGATGTCAATGGTCTCACCAGCCTTGACGGTGGCGACCTTAGCACCAGCAGTTGCGTCCTTGTGGCATGCAATTTTGGTGACATCCGTGTACATCGAAGGTGCGACAAAACCATTGTCCAATGCCTCGGGGTTGCTCCATTCGATAACCTCCGGAGTAGGGTTCTGGTACTGGAAGGATGGGTCATAGGCAGTGTACGGAGTGCCAGCGACAGTGATCAACCCTATGTGACCATGGGCCTTGACTGAGGCAGCAAGGGCACCAATGAGAGCAGCGACTTGAATCTTGGAAGACATCGTGTGTGGAAAGAGTAGCAGAAGAGCTTGAGAGTAGGTGTGCAAGTAAGCTTCGAAATCAACGAAGGTTCAAAAAGAAGGTAAACTACTTCAATCGATGAAGAGTGAGCGAATGTGAAATGAATGACAAGTGCCGAAGAGTCTGAATGAGCGTGGTGAGGAATCACATTAGCAGGGCGGGCAGTGTACTTTATAGCAGCAGCAAGTGGCCGTTGAAACATGCGAAACATGTTGGCGCCGGGCTTGACGCTGTACACATGTCAAGTGCCTGTGGTGGGTACCGCAAAAACGGTACTGGTCCCGTCAGACTGAAGCTTGATTGCTCAAGCGAACCTTCGAATCTCGGGAGAGGCGTCTGCTCAATGCTTGTTTCATTGATGTGGCTTGGAACAATGCAAGCCGTCGGCGCTGGTTTCGATCGACGCAGGTATCATGAGATTTCGAAACATCGCGTCGAATGAAAGGAGATTGTGGTGCCCCACAGCGAAATGCAAGCAGTATCACTATGATTCCGCTTCATCGTAGGCAGCACAAACTGAGGATATGTCGATAGCGCGATACATATTGAAGAAGTGTTTCTTCCCGCGCACGTATACACCTGGACACGATGTTGTCTTGAAGCATCGCAGTTCCATCTCAATAGGCCCTAGAGATGAGGCTATACCCAAAGCGGCATACTGCACGTTAACACCTCAGACCAAAGAACTTGCCTACTACACCAACAAAGTAGCCTTGGTGCAGCGCGGATGTCTTCAAGTGCCTGCAGAGCTCTCTTCGCGTTGTGTTTGTAGTAGCTAAACAGTATTTAGTTCATCAAATAGTCGCTGAAGCCCTACATGCACGCGACGCCTTTGTCCCACCGGATATGCTAAGGTGCGGTAGTCGTCTCACAATTCCACAAGCAACAGCGACCGCGCAATGTACATTTGCCATCCAACACATGCGAGCTGTTCCAGATCATGTCCCTGACTTGTAGTTTTCGTCATTTTCATCTATCTGCATCAAGCGTTCTGGATCCAAGTGCGGGCCCAGGTACGCGATGTTCTTCCTCCAGTCGGCTCGCACCATGGTCGTTTCACGAGAGCGCCGCAAAGCGGGTCGTGCGGGTCAACGGCATTGAGACCAATCTCGCGATGCCGATACTCCACAGAGCAACATCACGGTGAAGCGCATGACTTGGCAAGAACATGGTCGCGTTGATTCTTCGCGGCAATATCATCAATTTTCACATCGACATTCGATTGCCCAAGACAACTATCAACCTACATCATTACTATGAATTCAAACTTCTAGTATATCAGTCTATTGTTCAGCAATCGAGCATTGCGAGCAATCGCATGCATCGCTATCCAATAATATTGCCGAAACACACCCCTAGAAGAACAGTTTATTGATTAAATGTAGTGGCCATGAATAGCTCACATATCTCGCAGTTCCTTCCACAAAAGCATGCGCGCTTGAAGTGGTCTCACCATAGCCATGGCATTCGCCGTCTTCCCCTGGTCTTCCGAATCGTCCATCACACCATCCGGTCGTCCAATAGGTACCCGTCCATAATCGTCCTCCACTTCACCCGCCTCGTCGAACTCCTCATCTCCATCGATTCTCAACCCCTCGAATTCCTCCTCTAGTCCAAACTCCCTCCTCAAGCTCCCACCTCCCCGCGCTTTCCGCACACGTTCATCTCCCCCAGTAATCCCAACTTCGCCCTCAACCCCCTTCCTCACCCGCTCCCACCCATCCAAAATCTTCTGCACCCTCAACCACACATCGTCCAACGACCCCGCTACAATAATATCCACTTCAGCCTCCGTGGCTTCGCGCCCAAGGAACCCAGGTTGCCAAAGGACATACTCTAGTTCCGATCGCAACTGGGCGGACCAGAAGGCACGGCTGCATAGACTGGGACATGGTGGGGTAAACAGATGGATGGTTGTGTGCATGAAGGTGTATAGGAAGGTTTTAAGACTTTCTCTGGCGCGATGGAGGTCTGTGGGTGTGAGGTCGGAGAAGGGGTGCATTGCGGCTTCGGGGATTGCTGGTGCTGTGCAATTACTGGTTGATACATCGTGCGTGGAATTGACCTGGTTTGCGGATATATCGTGCTGTCCAATTAAATGAGGAGCGAGATGGGTCGACATGTTCGTCTTCTCGTTGAGGATTGACTGGTAAGTTGAAGGATACATTGATTGACACAGGTGTTGCGTTGTGGTGTAGAACAAAGACAAGGGGAAGTTAATGCTTACCAGCAGGATATGTTATAGTCCACGGTGAGCAAACTTGTCTCACAAACGGAGGTGAATTACGCCTGCGGTAAGACTTTACTTCCACTCGCCTCTCTCACTGTTTCTCAAACACTGAGGCTGCGTGGTGTGGCGCTTCGCACTATCACCATACTGAGTGCTGGCTGCTTCCAGCAGTTTCATGGTACATGAAGATGGGCGGAGCGCTTGGTAGTGATGAATAAACCAGAGCCAAACTTCTCAGCCATAGTCCACATCGCAGCATTGATCTGCTTCTCGATGTTCGAAATCGTACACGGTCTCGTACGAGAACCTGTTCCACGTACGCTACCAACCGAGCTTGACGAAACTCTCGGCTGCAACGTGGTCCTTGATCAAATGAAGCTAGTCGGAAGCCAGCACCTTAGACGCATGAGCTTGACATTGACCTTGGCATCTTTGTGCATGCGGACTAGAACCTCGCGGTAGATCGGGCACATGTGAGCATCGTCCAATCTTCTGTCACTGAGAACGGCATGACTTACGCCACGCGACATTGCAATACATTTCTCGTATTGCATGCGCGTAGCAGAAGCAAAATGTCTGTACAGTGTTCGAATAAGTGCTGTCTATGCAAATGTCCCTATCCACTTATATGTAGTGGAACAACCAAGCTTCCTCATCTTTGGGGGACGCCTAACTACATGCTGATAACAGGGGGTATAATGACAAACGAGACCATGACAAGATGCGAATGCGAGGGCGTGTGCAGATCATGCTTCCATCTGTCATCCTACGCTATGCTAAGTTGCGTTGGCGGTAGACTGCAATGAAAACGGAGAGGGGAAAGAGTTGTCTCGGTGGATCGAGAGGGTGCTACCTTCGGCCCTGTGGTGTATTAGTGTCGTAATCTTAGTATGTGATGCGATGATCTTACCGCGCTCGCTGCTCCTCCTACAACAACACGTTGCTTGCCAAGCCAGCTCTTGGGGGCTTCTGCTCTTCGTTGCAGGATGACTGTGTTGCTCTGGAGGCGGCTCGTCATGTCATACCACGCAGAGGCGATGAGATCGTTCTCGCGGCGTAGATTCTCAAGCTCCTGCTGGAGTTCAACCTGACAATCATCAGTATACACAAAGCGGAATGTGAACGCGAAGCTCGTGGATCTGAAACATACCGATCCCTTCTCTGAAGTCTCCTTCTTCGCTGCTTCGAGCTGTTCCCGTAAGCTAGCATTTGTGGTTGTTTGTTCTTGCAGGTCCTGGTCGGTGTTAGTCACGATCCCCATGTGCCAGCGGAAGTGAAGGTTTA